AAAACATAGATCCAAACTAGGGTTGCATGTACACATATGATTGTTTGTATAAAACACATCAGTTAATACACTGTTAAATATGGTATTATTATTATTATTATTATTATTATTGTTATTATTATTATTATTATTATTATTATTATTATTATTATTATTATTATTATTATAGTTTTCTAAGGTATATTATTATTATTTTGGTGTTTAAATTTAGTAATTTGTTTTAATTAATGTATGTTTATTGTTTTCTTTATTTTAGGAAAATATTTTAGCAGAGTATACAAATATGTAAGAATAGGTCGGGGATGTCAAACATGTAAATGAGTGTGAATGTCTTACTCGTGCCCTCGGTGAGAAACGCGGACATACTCGCAGAGTTGGAAGGAAACCAAGAGCAAACAATCATTTACTTCGAAATCAACCTCCTTCCAAATCTTCGAAATCCCAATCTCAAAATATGGATAATACCTAATTTATTCCATTAACCCAAATGCAACAAATGCATCAAGTGTATAATAACTCATTAGTGACAGTAATTCCTAACTTCTAACCACCACCAATGCCATAATTTCAATACAATCACAATATGTTTCCATAAAACACCCAAAAACAACCAACAAGACCGAGGAGATGGGTAAAGATTATGGTGATTGATCCATTTTGTTATTTTGATATGTAGTAGACTTTAAGTCTTGAATTTGAATTATGATGGTTTGTTATGCTTATTTAGTGTTTGATATTATGCTGCATACTGTTTGGATTTGTTTTAAAAAACAGGTTTGGTATATATAACAAAATTTGTGAAAAATACCGAAAAAGGCTACACCAATGACACGTCCTTACTGTAAAAACGGTTGTGACCTATGCCGACGAAAATTTGCCAACATAGCTCAAATGGAAAAACCGTTACCCACTTTCCCGACGACATATCGTCGCAATAGGTCCAATGTTCCCCCACGACATGTCGTCGGTATAAATTGCATCTATATCGACGACAAGTCGTCAGTAAAAGTAACTAATAAAACTTTTTTGCCCTCGAAAATCACTTCCGACAACCATTTATCGATGACTTGTCGTCTGTATAGGGCCCTATCCCGACTTCTATTCTAACGACTTTTTCTACTTTCACCGACAAGGTTGTACCAATGACTTGGTACCGATGACTTGTAGTCGTTATAGGCTTTCTCGATGTCATTTCATCGACATATAGGTAAAAAATGTCGTCGGCATAGGGGTGGATTGTTGTACTGCCTGATATGTGATTAGAAAAAGAGTGCGTACGACATTGTAAATTTAGTAAATACATATTATATAACATATTAAAATAAAAAGAGAATTCTTCCAAATTAGCTTGATCTAATCAAGTGAACCAAGTTAAATCTTTTTGTGTTTTTGTTAATCTTATTAATTAGCATAACCATCTCTATTATTGTTTTTTTTGTCGAGTTGCTCTTAATCACCTAACAAAGTTCTTTGGAAATGCCAATACGGGACTAGCCCACTTTGATAGAGGGTTAACCTCATAGATTGAAAGTCTCCGGTTCTGATACTAACCTTTACTACCAACCACTAACCACTAAGACCAGCCGATGTACCACATACTGCATACCGCGGTATAGTGCGATATGCGATAAAACACGCACCAACCCTGGAATGAAAAGTACGATATATTTTAATATTGATATATTATTTGCATATATTGATATATTATTTAGATATATTTAAAACTAGAAATTGCCCACTCTCACTCCGCGGGGGATGCAAACAAGGTTTTGTTTAATATGTTTTGTTTTGTGTGCCCGGTTTGGTGGAATAATGTTCCTTTTTACAACACAATAGGTACTTGCCGACATACGAAAATCTAAGGATAAAATCTGCAAACATCTTATATATGAAAATTCAAGGGGTTAAAAATGATATTTTACAAAATAAAGGGTCCCAAAGTGATATTCTACAAAGTAAGGATGGAAAATGTCAACATACTAAAGTGTAAGGGTCATATTTGACAAGGAAATATTTATCAAGGAAAGAAACTTTTATGGCAAAAGTATGAAACCATAAAGCTATAGCCTAGGACTAAATATTTCAGAAAAAAAAAGGAAATTTGCCGCTAAAATTTGGCCAAAATATGAAAACATAAAAGCAGACTGTTTATAAATGCTTATGTTTTAATAATGGGTGGTCCTAAAAAATTCCCATTTGGGGTTTTCATTATCTTGTTTTCGGTAAAAAAAGTCTAACCTAATAATTAATCAAATTAACTGGGTTGTCAATCTTAATTAAATATAGTTTATTTATAACTTATTATTTTATTATTAATAAATTTTTTTTCTTTATATATAGTTATAAATACATTGTTTACCCAAAATATTTATTATTACATTGGTTGAATTATTAAATTTTATGACTAATATAATATACAATTTTTTATTTTTATTTTATGTTTTAATAAACGTAAAAATTTAAAGTAAATCGTATAGTCTAAAGCAAACATTTTTTGTAAATCAAAGTTTGTTACTGTTTTGAGATTTTTTAGTGTTATAAGTTTATATTATTTTCTTGTGCTATGTTAAGTAAAAAATGTTATAAAAGAATATTTAAATTTAATAATTTATATACTTACAATTTTAAAAAATTTGATTTTGTTTGGATGTGTAAAAAAGTGGAAAAATTGTCTAGTTTGGACCATAGATTACTATGAATTTTTTGCATCAAAATATATTATAGTGTTACATAAAAAAAATATTAATTTATGTCATCATTAAATATTATAAACAAACAAAACATCATTAAAAAAAACACTACATCCGAACTAGTTTCTGTAGTGTAATCGTTTACGGATTCCGATTTAGCCTATGCATATGCATAACTCGAAACTTGTTTCAGATTAGCCAATATTTGTTTTCGGATTAAATAACTGATGTTTTTTCAGGTTTCGGATTAGTCTATAACCGTTTTCAGATTAAATAACCTAAGCTATAAAAAGAGTTTCAGATTTCAATGATGCAATTTTTAAAATGGGGTTTCGGATAAACAAACATGACTTTTAATTAACCAAAACTAAAAAAGTCAAAAGGAAAAAATTCGGATATCTCTTTTCATAAAGTGGGAGCCTATTTACCAAAATATTTAAGTAAAAAACGAAAAAAAAAAAAAATTGGAAAACTATCTAAATTAATCAAAAAAAAAAAATCAGAAATGTATAAATAAAAAATAAAATAAACTATATAATAAGTTTATATAAATATTTTATATAATTGATTTAATAAAAAATAATTATTATTATAAACTAAATTACAACAAAAATAATCAAAAAAGAAAAAAAGCATAAAAAATAAAAATTGATTTGATAGATATGACGTGAGGGTTTTTTTTTTAAGATACGAGGGAATTTTTTAAAAAACCCCTTAATATATAATATCTATCTATCCTCTCTAATAAATAAAGAATTTTTTGTCACTTGTTATACTCTCATTCAATTTGTCAAATATCATTTTGTGGTTATTTTAAATTAACTTTTTTTCCACATATTATTTTATGAGTTTTTCTATTTTATTAAATCTCACATCATATTTTAATATAATAATTGAAATAAAGATAGTAATAAATATATATCAATTTCATTAATGAACTTACATTTTAATTTCAAAATTCTCAAAATTAAAGCTTTATAGTTGCATTTAATTATTTATATTATTTGTTTAAATTTAAAAGATAAAAAACATTTCTATTATAATAATTCATTATTTTTCTTATTTTATTTATAAATTCAAAGAGGTCAAATATTTGACCTTTATATTTAACTTTTTTATTAAAAAAATTAACCCATATAATAGATGCGTCTCACAACTAGTAGTAATAAAAGAATAGTTATTAGTGTCACTTGTTATTTTCAAATAATTTATATTTTATTTTTAAATACTTTATAAAAATGAAACTTATCATTTTCTCATCACTTTTTATTTTTTAAAAGTTACGCTAATAATAAGTTAGATAAATATTTATTAGATCCTTGATTTTTAAGAGACATTTAAATTTGTCTTGAATAAGTTTTGATTATAATTGCTACAATTAATTGTATTTGTATATTAAAAATCCTACAAAACCATGTTAATTAACAATTTATTAGGTGTGAGACCCATGTATTACATAAGTTAGTTTAAAAAAAAAATATATGAAATTTTAACAATTTGAAAAGTTTGAATTTATAAGAAAAATAAGAAAAAATTTAAATTATTAAAATTAATGAGACTTTAATACATTAAATACATTACATATATAAACTCCTTCTAATAAATATCTTACATATATATTACCTTACATATTAAATGTGAAATTTTAATTTAATTAAATGAAAAATACAATAAAATGACAAGAGAAAAATAGAAAATTCAAAAATTCTAGAAAATGTCATGTGTCAAAATGAAGGAGAAGATGACATGTGACAAAAAAATTTTGATTTATTAAGGAGGATTGAAAATAATTGATTAATAATTATGAGTTTTACTATTAAAATTTAATTATTTTTGTAACTGTGGTTCCCACGGGCTATAACCTAGTAATTAAATAAAAGTATGATAATGTATGATATAACATCCACCAATTTTATGAGTTGATAAAAGAAATATGATTTTGCAAAAGTTAGTCCTACGAACCATTCACAAAATTTCTTTAAAAAATTATTCTATTAATGATTTTATGTTAAGAATCAATAATCGTATGAAACATTCAACTTCAGATTTTAATATAACTTGTACAAAGTCGTACCTATAATTATTGATATTGTAAAAGGGCTACTCATGTTAATTAGTCAATTTCTCTCCTGGCATATTTTTTTATTACTCGCCGAGTAATTTGAGAAGACTATCTAATTATGTACTAAAAATTATACTATATACTATTCAAACAAACACGTTATCCATAGCGTTAAGCAATCAGTGAGTTTTACTTTGTAATTTCTGGCCAACGTTTACTTTATATAAGAATATATACATGTAAATACAGCAACTTTTCCACATTCGAAACACAAAATGGACCCAAACCTGTTCGATGCATCCTTAACAGGAAATGTACAACTCCTTAATGCATTGCTCCACGAAGACGAGCTAGTTCTTGACAGGATTTCACTCAGCTGCTTCAACGAAACACCATTGCACATTGCAGCCTTGAGAGGCCACCTCGATTTCGTGAAGATTCTTGTGTGTAAAAAGCCGATACTCGCTATGTCTCTTGATTCGCAAAGAAGAACGGCTCTCCATTTGGCATCTGCCGAGGGCCACGTGGAGATTGTACGTGAACTCTTGAACGTGATGAGTCCTGATGGATGGTGTTTCCACGACCAAGAAGGAAGAACAGCGCTGCACTTGGCTGCCATGAATGAACAATTAGAGATATTAAAAGCTCTGATTCAGAAAGAACCTGATCTTGGTAAAGACCTACAGGGAAACGGGGAGACCATTTGGCATACCTGCATCACTTGGAATCGCTTTGAGGCCATGAAATTGCTGTCTGAACTATGGAATGAAGAAGAGCTGGCCAAACTCACAGGTCGCAACGACAACACCCTCCTTCACCTAGCTGTCGTTCATAAACAGATCCAGGTTTTGATTTTACTTTCCTTTCGTCCTAGTTAAGACCTCTTTTGACTTCTCCAAATATCGAATTGCTCATGTTTATGATTATATGTGCAGACTGTTAGTTATCTGCTTCAGAAACCAAGTGTTAGAGCAGCTGGAAACATTGTTAATGGACATGGGTTCACAGCACTTGATATTCTTGATCATTGTCCACAGGATCTCAGTGCACTACAAATTCGTAGTTTGCTTATCGAAGCCAACTTTCTGAGAGCTAAAGACGTTAGTCATTCCTTTAGACCATTTCAAAGGTCAATGGAATCCAAATCCTCAGAAACAGCTGCCAATGCGGAGAGCAAGCCCAAAGGATGCATGTCAAGAGTATGGAACTGGTATCTAAATCACAATGGAGATTGGTTGGAGAAACAACGTGGGATTTTGATTCTGACAGCAATATTAGTGGCAGGAACATCATTCTATTCCGGGCTACACCCTCCAGGAGGAACGTTTACGGGTTCTAAAGATGGACCTCTGGGAAACGCAGTTCAAACAGAAGTAGTAATGGGTAATTTCACCACATTCGTGATACAAAATACCATAATCATGGTTATTTCAATGATGATTGCTCTGGTGTTGCTGAGTGGAATCTCTCTAAGGAACAAGTTCACTTTATGGGTGCTCAACGTCGCGACTGTTTGCATCCTGTTTTTTACGACCCTTACTTATTTACAAGAGATAGCCTGGATGTCCCCTGATACATGGGTGAATGCTCCAACACTTTACATGTGCTTTGTATGGATACTGCTATTCTTGTTTGTTGCCTTCATCCACACAATATTCTTCATAATATGGGTGATAAAGAAGCTCTTGAACGCTAGAACAAAGAAAAGGAAAAATGACTATGTTGTCGTATAATAATCTACAGTCCGTCTGTGTATACGTTGATGATATTGAATTTGAATTTATTAATCTATATATGTATGTCTCATATGTTTTATTTGCTTTGGCTGTGGCTTGAGTCTTTCTTATGATGTTAAGCATGAGTTTATGTAAGGTGTCTACCTGATGATGGATGATGCAAACTACTTTACATGTGGCAATTGTAGCTACCATAAACTCTTGCTTCACACGATGAAAATGCCACGCTTTGTTTCTTCTGTGAGTTCCATGTAATAAGGTTCTCATTGAGATAAAATGTCACTTATCGTTTTTTTTACTTTGACGAAACGAAGTCTATAATTTTTTGTTAAAAGGTCATTATTGATAAAACAAACGGGTAAGCCGGCCATAAATTGTCAGGTCACCAAAATTTACTCCCAGTCACAACTTCTTAAACCTAAACCTCCCCACCATTGATTCCAACGAGGAGACTATGCAGCTGAGCAGTGAGTGATGCCGACGACCACCATCATGTCACACCCATCTTCTGATCATCCAACCCTGTTGAGTCTCCTCTCTGCCTTCACAACATCAACCCATCACGAACATCAACCTCCATCACACCCATCACCAACAACAATCATCAACACCACCGCTAAACACCCATCATTAACCATTTCCTTGTTTATCGATATTCCCTTGATATTCCCTTGACCGAACTTGCAATTAAAAAAAAATAGTAGAGGGTCTGACAACGTTCAAATTTTGCACATCAACAAGGGCTATTTAGCCGCTTCATTTTTAGTTGTCTTCTTTTTCTTTCATCACGTTTCTCTTTAATTTCCTATGTCGTAAGAGATTCCTCAATAAACTTCCTTTCCTTACATCTGATTACTAGCTCCGGTATCAATAACTCAAGTCCTAGCAACAGTTGCTATTTTAGGATACATCACCAAGTTATTAAAAATTAGGGTTAAAATAAAGGACGATGCATTAAGAAAGTAAAAGATACGAAAGCAATCAAGGTGTAAACGATCCTCCATCTGATACCATGATGATTTACAAAGTATAGATTTGAAATGAGAGATTGAAGATGTATGTGAAAATCATTCTCGTAACATTTTTGTTTCATGAACTAATTCCCTTATGTATAGGCGAAGCACAAATTTGTTCAACACGGGAAAACCTAAAGGAACATGTCTATGATCTAAAGAACCAACAAAGCAATAAATTAGATGAGACATAAATAAAATAATTCAAAGATAATAATTTCCAACAATAGAAGCCATGCAATTCATAAGTGGCATTGAAAACCGATAATAACAAGTCTAAGAGATGTAATTAACTGATTTATCAGCTTTATTCCCTTATAAAGCAAAGAAAAATCATTAGTGACATATTAAACCAAATGCAAATACTTTGTAGGGCTAAAATGATATTTTCCCAACTAATTTTTCATTATTTATTAATACACAATGTTTTGAACTTACTAGATTTTAATGGAATGATCTCTGATCATTTACTTTCTATACAACTCTACACTAATGCCATATATACTTTTAATAGTTAAAATGTTTTTTTTCCATTAAAGAGTTCAATAACCATTGAACTTCATATCGATTGAATGTCAACATGACATCTATAATGGTCGTTTTTTTTGGGAACGATGATATATATTAAAAAAAACACTAGCAAAAAGCTAGAAAATAACATAGTAGCTAAACTAGGATTAGCACCAATGATCCTTGATTAACGTACTTTTTTATCTTTCTAATATCAATGCAAAAATATGACTTAGACAATATATCATTGAAAAGAGAATATATGTTCGGCTTTTCCATTCCAAAAAAAGAGTGTTCCCATAACTCCACAAAGTCCAAAAGGTTGTGATCATAACTGCATCAAAGAACAAACGATTCTTAGAATTCAACGCAACTTTATCCGGCCAAGTAATTACACTATAGACCAATAACTGAGTGGGAAGATCAACCTCCCACCACCTAGCAATTCAACTCCATAAAGGTATAAGAAGTGAGCAAGTAGAGAACAATCGGGGGACTCACAAAAAATAGAACACACATAGGATAAAACAGAGACCAAATCCACTCCCTCATCTCTAAGATTAAGCCGAGTTAGAATTTTATTCCAACTTAAAAGCCACTTTAGAATATTCAATTTAACGGGAATGTAGTTATTCCATCTATCAAAAATGCTAGAAGTCATAAGAAAAAACGAATCCAGATGGACTCGCACGGAAGAAACCGTAAAAACTCCTGAATCCCATAGTAACTGATCCTTATTATCAGTAAATTGAAAACCATGTAGTTTACTTACGAGATCCTCCCGTTGAGACAACCTTTGGCCAGCTCACGTCCTAGGCAGATAAACCAGTTGTAACTTATCCATAGAGTTAGGATCTAAAACGTTAGCATGAGGATTAGGATCAAAAGCAAATACTCTATAAAATCTATCTTTCAATGGACGGTCTCTCATCCATTTATCAAACTAGAATCTAGTATTATGCATATTACCCATCTTTATAGTACAAGAATTTTTTTTAAATATATTCTACGACTAGCAAGATGATTAATAGCACATGAGATAGAGATCCGAATACTATTACCTCGCATCCTAGAAAGAAGTCGAGAATCAACATCATGAACAACATTGATAACATAGACCCACAAGCTCTTCGGTTCATCATGAAAATGCCACCACTACTTGAAACAAAGAGTTCTAATAAGAGAAAATAAGCTTCCAACCCCCAAGCCTCCAGAGTCCTTGGTGGCCATGATTTTTTTCCAAGAAACCCATTGAATCTTTTATACCTCAATATTAGTACCCCAAAAAACCTTATCTCAAATATCCTCCAAATCTTTTAAATCTGAACAGGAGCCTTAAAAACCAACATGTAGTTGATTGTCAAACTTCCTAGCACTGATTTTAATAAAGTCAATCTACCGCCTATAGACAACATCTTCGCCTTCCAGATTGACAACTTAGAAACAATTTATCAACAACTGGGTTGCAAGAATTAATCCGATTCATGTTGTTTCCAACCAGCAAACCCAAGTAAATAAACGAGAATCTAATCCCATTACACCCAATAATTTAAGCACACCGCTGCACCGCATCGAGCTCAAATCCCACCCTAATTAACTTATTTTTAATTAAGTTACTATTAATACTAGACACCAACTAAAATACCATAAGCATTCGGAAAATACGACAAGCATTTTCCAAACTTCAATTACATATCAAAATATCGTCATCTACTAAAAGAAGGTGTGAAACATTCAAATCCCCATTAGCAACTGAAGCTCCACAAAATTGTTGGATTAGTTGTCTAAGCCCATAACTATAATTGGTATATATTTGAATTGATAGTGGCATGGTCCTTTTGGGTTGCCTTCACACGTGCAACTAGACATGATGATTATTGAGGAAGATGAAGAATTTATTAATTTTATTAACAAATTGGAATGGATGATTTATTAATTTATTACTTGGTTAATAAATTAACTAGAAATCAAAATAAGTGATTTATTAATATGTTATGGATATAAGATATTAATTAGTAATCATATTATTAATTAATATTTAATCAGAAATTAATTTGGAATTAATTTTGGGATTAAAGGAATTAACTGAAAGTGCATGGACTAAAAGTGCAATTGTTCAATAGTTGATAAAAATGGTTCAAAACCTTCCTAGGAAGGTGGTGGACGAAATTTATGATATATGTAAGATTATTCTAGAGTTTATAGAATATCTTATCATATATGGATAATCAAAAGAGATGGATAATTACCATATTTTAGATAATAATATTTTATTCGGATTAGGATTATCCATAGCATCCTTGGTGCACTATAAATAGAGTCCTTCAGCATGAGAATTTCGGCCACTCTTTCTAAGAAGTAGAAGCTGAAAAATGGATCCCTTCCTCCTCTCTCATGTCTTTCTCTTGCATTGTGTGTTTGTAAGCTATTAGCGGTGTTACACTTGTGACACTAAGCTCTCAAGCTTCAAGATCTACAAGGGAATCATTGTTATTACAATATAACAATAAATGTATATAACCTAACCCTAGTTTCATATGAATTTCGAAAATTATAGTCACTACCTAGGGTTTCTCCTTTTGTGCTCAAGTTTGCATGTTCAATTAGAGAAAACTTAGATCCAAAGCATTAGGGTTGCATAAAATACCCTCAAGTCCGCTTCAAATATAAAATCATCAAAATCCACGGCTTGTGAAGCATAAAATACCGAGCCAAATGTCTTCGATTCCATTCTAACCACATTCAAATCTATAAAAAAAATATAATCCTAATCAATAGTTGACCATAAATAACTGCATAGCTATCTCTTTTTAGTTGTATCTTGAGGAGCATAAACATTAAACATAGCACAATTGATGTTTTTCATAACCCACCCCCATTCCATCTTTAACATGTTCTCTGAAAAAACCACCATTTCTCTTTAGGACACACTGAAATACCACACATAAAGAATCCCTCTGGCCATACCCCTTGTTGTACTACATGCAAAATCAAATCTAGAATTACCCACCATAGAACAAATTTTCAATAAAGTTTATTGCATTATTCACACATAAATCTTTCGCCCATCCTATCTTCTTACTATACCTCACCCCAAAAACATTAAAAGACATTCAATTCATGAGACTTGGATCACATGCATATTGTTTAATCGTTGCTTTAGATCTGCTTTGGCATTCTCCACATCATACCCTAAAATTTTACTCAATTCAATGAATTTAGATATCTCATAAAAACAAGTATCATCAATATTCGAGTTCTTTTCCACAAAATCCAAATAGAACAGGTGCTCAATGATCTCATCACATTATTCTTGGAATATTGTAATGAACCACTACTCCCATTCTCATTTGTACTAAATTCAAATTTTCTCCCACCAAAACCTGGAGGTTTTGATATGTCATACCCATTTATAACCTTTTTACTGGATTAAATATGATCACCTTTGACCCCTTCTTCATGCGATTGAAACCCTATACACCCATGTGCCTCGTGATCAC